TTTTGTGAGGTGGAGGACTTTGTGGACTGGTGTTGGGTTAATGGGTTAATGTTGGACTTGTGGGCTTGGGCAGCTTTGGGTTGGGATGTTTTCATGATGCACATTTTCTTTACATAAAACTCTCTCTTATACGTGAGTTGCTGTGGATTTGTTTCTCCAAAGTACCCAGACTAATACAATGCTGTATACTCCTATAGTAATTTAATAGACTGACACAATTACTATTGCACTACTATCATGATATAGTAATATAAATAAGTAGCCTGAGCTTTCCCCTGGGAGTCACTGGGGGGGCCAGTCACAGAGCCCTTTAAGGGTCTAGTGAAGTTCTGGTGGCGCTGTCTGGTAAGGTCGGCAGTTCAAACCTACCTGCTGCTGCTCGGAGGATAGAGGAGACTGTCAGCTTCAGTAGAGATTTATGGTCTCAGAAACCCTATGAAGCAGCTCCGCGGTTTTAAAGAGTCAAAATAGACTCAGTGGCCATGAGCTGTTTTTTGGATTGGTATTAGAAATCATTGTTTTCAAGGAAAACAAAGCAATCCAATACACTGCAAACACAATGAAAACAATTCATACGAAAGAAGCATTTCATACGAAAGAAGCATTTCACAGATCTCGGAATAATGAGCCAGAACTGAGAACAAAAAAGCTGTCTTCTCTTTCTCTCTTCTCTCTCTCCCCACCCCACCCCATAACCCCCTTTCTTTCTTATCTTTACAGAAGCCTTCCATTTCTCTCTTTCTCCCGCCTCAGAGAGTCTCAGAAACCCACAGGAGCAGTTCTATGGGGCCGTTGTGAGTCAGACTCAACTCGATGGCTGTGAGTAAAAAAATGTTAGGTGGCTGAAGATATCAGAGGAAAATTTCATAAACTAGTATGTAGAGTATCCAATGAGAGTAGATTCACCAGACCAAGCTCATGATGCAGACTTGACATGTTGTCTAGGTTCTGTGAGAAATGCTGTTCACAGGACAAAAATGTAAGCCTAGAGACACAGGAAGCGTTAAACTTTCTAGTAGTCACATTTTTTTTGAAGAAGAGATAAAATGTATCTTAATAATTTGTTATGGAATTTCTTATCCGAAATATGTTCACTCCAATGGATAATTAATATGAATGTTATTAATGATGCTTCACATGAGGTTTTAGTCCTAAGTCCCCCAAATTGGATATGTAGCTTCAATTTATAGCACAACTCCATTTGGGTGCTGTATTTTCATGGGAACCTGAGACAGTTAAGGTTTATTGTGCCAACCTGGCTGTTAACACATGAGGGATTCATTGAAGGGCAGAGAGATAAATGGCTGCGTGAGCCTCGCCTTTCTTGTTCTTGGTTCTTTTACTCTCTGATGGTCGGACCAGGGTGCAGCTGCCTTAGCAGTTCCCTGCTTCAGCTTGCAAGGCTGACTTCCTGCAAGACACCCCCAAGGAGAAGCCGCATGGACCTGCCCTGATACAGCCCTGGGTGCTGGAGCAGCTGTGTGGAGACCCCTGCCAGCGCTGAGATGCTCACCCGCTCACTGATTCAGCATTCCTCCTGCAGTCAGCATCATTGCATGTGTTTTGTCAGATTGAGGAGGGCTTTGTAGATTTGTATCAGACATATGGGCTAATGTTGGACTTATGGGCTTGGACAGCACTGGGTTGGGATGTTTTCTTAATGTACACTTAGCCTTTATATAAAACTCTCTCTTCTACATATGTGTTTCTGTGGATTTGTTTCTCTAATGTACCCAGACTAACACAGAACCCCTGATCTGAATTTAGATTTCATAACAGTACAATGTAGGAAAATAGACCTTGCACCCCAGTCTTCCTTATTCCATGCTCCCTTTAACTAGTTATGTAAGATGAAGTTAAATCATGGAAAGGATTTGCTTAACTCACTGAGTGGATCCCTTGCCCTGACACGCTCTGCAGAGAGACTACGGGAAACCCCCCCGCCACTGGGGTTGAAGCTCCTACCACCCCCACCCACCCTCACCCCTACCCAAATACACAGAATAGGTAGAAAACAGAAGATGCATTTTGTTTACTTTTTACTTGGACTACGTGATAGTACATATTTCACACATATATATATATATATGAGAGAGAGAGAAAAGATGGACTGGGAGGAATTTCGATTGTTATTTTTCCATAGAGAGATTGTGTACATTGGAAAGTTTTGAGATTTGTTGTTGTTTTCCTTCTTGGGGCAGGGTCAGGCGATATTGACAGTGCACATCTGATGACCAAATGCAAAAGCAGCTGACAGTTGGACTTGTCTCCTCCTGGTAATGTTTCCCTCCTTTCACTCTCTCCCTCTCTTTTTCCTTCTCGGTTTTTCATCCTTTCTCTTTTTGGGTGAAAATTGACAAAGCAAATTGGTTTTCCCTTCCACAATTCATACATGTTTTCTCGTGTGACGTAAATCCTTAAAGTGTTACAGGAGTCTTTCCACTTCCTCCCTGAGTTTGCTATTTCCCTCCATCCTTCGTTCCCATCCCTTCCTTATTTGGAGCTTTAGCCCTGGGAAAACACTGCCCCTTTGATCTCATGCAGTTGATTGTTCTAATGAATGTGAACTTCCCTGCATCATTGTTCAATTTATAGGCCCATCATTTGGCAGAATGTTGAGTTCCAGGCTATGGACCAGTATCGTGGGGTCCTACCACTTTCCATCAGGCCAGTCGACCAAGTCTTTTCTAAGATTTTTGAGTTCCGTTCCATAGTTTCTCCCACTTATCCAGGACCTCCCGCTGTGGATCCCTTTCAGGGTGGTCAGTAGTGTTAGCTGGGTGACATCTAGTTCCTTGGTCTCAGGGCTGTGGTGGCTAGGGTTCTCCTGCTCCAGTAGTCCTTTGGGCCGATTGCTTCCTTGCATCTTTGTGTTAGGATGGATCGACTGGAGAAACAAATCCAGTGCCACTCATCTATTTATGTCAAGAAGATTTATATACATCAGGAAAACATTCCAGCCCATTCCAACACAAGTCCGTAAGTTTGATTACTAGTCCATAAGTCCCTCCTCAGACTCATGCAGGGATATCACAGGTTGGTGGGTGCAAAGTCTTGTGGATCCAATGGTGGTGGATGCATCTCCAGGTCTCTGACCACCATCAGGATGGTGAAGGTAGGATGTGGGGGTGGGGGGAGGTTCCCAGGACCCTCCTTATGAGAAGGCCACACTCACAGGAGGTTCCATAAGGCTGTGATTTGGTTGAGAGGCTAGACTGCACCCCTACACTTGCATATATCAAGTTGACATGAAGTTATGTGGGTACCACAATCTTTGAATTTCTTCAGTCTTCCTTGCTCTGGACCAGGAGAGATCAATAATTGCCCCTTCGATGACCACTCATGAGCTTTTAAGACTCCAGTGGCTACTCACCAAAGCAGGATGTAGAACATTGTCATTGCAGACTTTCTGTTGCAGGTTCGGATAAAAGAAGACCACTACAACGTCCAATGAGAATTACTGAAGTCTTATTTTTAATGACAGTCTCGCCTGGGCTGCAGCGGAAATGCTCAAAGGGAACTGCTCTCCAGATTGTAAACCCCTTTTCCCTGGCCGGCTTTCTTTTACATCATTCAGGGAGGGTAGAATACAGAAAGCAGGAGAAAAGGCAAGTTAAAATTCATATATCATTAAGTGGTATTGACAGAAGTAAAAAAAAAAAAAAAGTATATTTAGGTAACGTTTCAGGCGCCTTGTTTTATGATCCCATTCCTGAATTTCATCTCTAGCTTGTCCTCCTAGCAGGGGAGGCAAATGGACACTCCCGTCCATGAGAGAAAGTGAGAGAAAGACTTACAGAATCTCTTGATAAGGGGAGAGGGGTAGTTTAAACAAGAATTGCTCTAAGGCAGCGGTTCTCCATCTGTGGGTCGAGACCCCTTTGGGGGCCGAACGACCCTTTCACAGGGGTCGCCCAATTCATAACAGTAGCAAACTTAGTTATGAAGTAGCAATGAAAATAAGTTATGGTTGGGTCACCACAACATGAGGTACTGTATTAAAGGGTCCTGGCTTTAGGAAGGTTGAGAACCACTGCTCTAGGGCACTTACAGACCTGCATTCCATTGTGATGTTAAATAGATCCCCTCAAGCCAGGCCAAGGCTGCTTGGAGAGAGGAGGGAAAATGCCCTCAGGGAAAAGCACTCTTGGGACAATTCTGCGTAAAGGAGGTGATGTGAGCTGATGTGTTTCATTTGCTATGCCAACTGATTTTACTGTCCCAGGAGACCCCAGGCCCAGTGATATATTCTCTCAAAGGGTTTGGATATGGCTAAGAGGTTTTTATACTTTTGCCCCTGTGGGCTCCACTGTATTAATGGATCTGTGGTGGTACCTATAAACACAGGTACCTATGGTGCTACTTATAAACACCTATAAAAACTATCCTAGTAAGGTTTGTAAGCTCTAGTGTAGCATAAATATTTTGCACTTGGTCACTAACCAAAACCTTGAACCCACCAAGATGCACCAAAGAAGACAGGCGTGGCAAGCTGCTTTCAAAAGGTTGTAACCTGGACATGCCCATGAGCACAGGTCTAATCTGTTGCACATGGGGCTGTCATAAGCTAGAATTGACTTGATAACAATGGGGTTGCTTGTGGTAATCCTAGTGGATGGCAGGCACTAGCGTGGAGGCCTATAGAGAGCCTCCCGGCCAGACTTCCAGATCAAGTAACAAATCAGGAGCTACTGGTAGAAGCTGGGTAATGGCTTACTAGTGAAATCATGTAGCCACGCCTAAAAGATTCCAGTGGGCGCCAGGGAAAATCTCTTGACAGAAAGAATTGGTCCAAGACCTTTGGTCTGCTTCAAAGATGCTTCCGGGGCTCACACTCTCCTCCCCTTATGCTTGCTGAATCTGGCAGGGCCTTGACGTTTCTGATTCTTTATCTTATTTGTGCTTTGATTTGAGGAAGGGAGAGCTCGCTCCAGCTCCTTTCTCTTGGCATCCCAGTCTCCGTCCCGCTGATCTAGCTGCAGTCCCTTCTGCTGGGCCGTGTGTCGGTGGTCCCTGCATTCAACCTCTGCCCTAGGAAAGAGAGAAGAGAGGGATTTATTCCCACACGGGGCAAACCAGCTTCTCCTTTGCCTTGGAATCTGCCTCTCTTCCCCGCTCCTGAACTCCATGCGGGTGATTTAGCGGCATATCAGAAGGAAAAGGGTCCGTGTGCACACTCAAGGAGGTCACAGACACTAAAGAAACCCCAGGGAACTGACCCACAGCACCACCAGGGCTCCTGGGGTCATCTGGATGCTAGTGAGATGTTAACAGAATCAAAAAGAGAGTAGCACTTCGTTGAAGAAGGCAGTGCTAGTTCTTAACGTGCTCACATCTGTAGAGCAACTAGCACAGCGTATCTAAGAACAGAAAGGTCAGCTGTCGGGGCCCACATGGAAAAAGATATGGCTGCCTGCTCCCAGAAAGATGTGCAGTGCAGAAACAGCGCCACTCTATCCTGTAAGGTCACTGTGAGCTGAATCACCTGCGCCACGGTGGGTCTGCGCTTGATTTCCTTTGCTTATTTTTGAGTGGTATTTTCCTAATTATAAAAATGATGCATGTTCATTGTCTAAAATTTAGCAGTACATTAACACAGAAGAAAATGAAGATCACTCATCATCATACACAGACTGTGTAAAACCAGTTCCTACTGACTTGCTCTATAGGACAGAGTAGAAATGCTCCACAGTGTTTCTGAGACGATACATCCTTGTGGCTCTGAAGCACTGACCTGGTGCAAAATTTAACCCACTCCACCGTGGCACGATGGATGGCTTATATAAAGAAGAGATCATTATTTATAGATGGATTGTTATTGCTCTGTTCAGGTTCAGTCAGATCCTACATGACAGAGTAGAACTTGTCCCATCGTGTTGTCTAGGTTATAATCATTATGGTAATTGATCATCAGGCCTTTTATTCTGTTGAGTGCCTGGTGGGGTCAAACTGCCAACTTCTGGTTAGTAACTGAGTGCTTACCATTTAGCTACCAAGTCTCCTTATAGATGGATGAGTGGATGGGTGGATAGTTGGATGCATGGGTGGAGGGATGGATAGTCAGGTTTATACAATAGGGGCTTCAAAACATTTGGGGGGGAAAAATCCATGATCTTTTAATGCAATTTTTCCACGAACTCTTTGAAGCCTCCTTATAGTCGGGTAGACAGGTAGGTATATAGGTAGGTAGGTAGAGAGAAAGGCAGCTAGATTGTCATATATATACATGTGCAGTTTTCTATAGAGATCAACGGTGAGTGACTCACCTATGGACACTGGTGAAAGCCGCTCCACAGAGATACAATCTGTTGAGGAATGGGGTCTGAGAGGTAGGGCTGTAATGGGCAAACCCAAAAGCAAATCTGTTGCCATCAAGTCAGTTCCAGCTCATGGTCAAGTCCGTGTGTTACAGAGCAGGCCTGTTCTGTGGAGTGTTCTTGGCTGGACTTGTGTAGAGTGGGGTGAACTTTCCTGAGTAGGGTTGAACCCTCTAGGCTAGCAGCTGATCAGAAACTGTGCCACACGGGCTCCAAAACACTGGCAGCATTCTCACTGCCATTTGAGTCCATGGTGACTCCTAGCGGCCTGAAAGGACAGGGTAGAACTGCCCCTGTGAGTTTCACAGACTGTAATTCTTTATGGGAGTAGAAAGCCTTGCCCTTCTGCCGCAGAACAGCGCAACATGTAGCCACTGCGCCCTCGGTACTCCTTAAGGAACAGGCAAAGCAAACATTATTTTAAATACAAAGTTTTATAAAAAGCTCACTATATTCAGAGGAAAGCACACCTGCCCACCTCGCTCCTAATATGCCTCCCTTCCTACTGCCCCACCGCTAACTGGAAATGCCTTTCCAGTCTGCGGGTCTCGCGTTTGTCTGCCCTCCTCTCTGGCCCTTTCCTTTTTGTGCGAGGATTCGTTCTTTGAAAGGTATACCCGGTATCAGGCAGGGAACATCTTCTTTAGGCTTATTTTCACTTTTTTATGGTAAAAAAGTGCTCAGCGAAACATACTTCAATTCAACAGATACTGATAATATTTGTTAAGCTATGGCCCTTTCTTGTCATCTTTTCTAAATGAAGTTCAACTTTCTGCTCCCGAAGCATCTTATCAAGGAGCTCTGGTGGCATTGTCAGTAAGCACGTGACTGCTAACCACAAGGCTGGTGGTTCAAAATCATTTGTCACTCCATGGGGGAAAAGATGAGGCTGTTTACTCTGGTAAAGATCACTGTGTCAGAAACTACAGGGAGCCGTTCTAGTCTGTCCGATAGTGTCACTATGAATCCGAATCAACTTGGTGGCCATGGGCTTTAGAGTCTAATTTTTATTGAAGAGTTAAGGATTAACTCAGGGCAATAGTTTGGGCAGGAGGGACGTATGAAGCGTCCATGGCTCCAGAAAACATGGCTTCCATGAGAATTGGACGTTCTTTTCCATTTTCCCCCCAGACAGGAAATCGTTTTTCTCCCATGCTCTGATTTACCTTACATCCTTTTCAGGATTTCACTTGGTGCCATGTAATTTGGGATTCCTTCTTGAAAACTTAAGAAGAAGCCCTGGAGGCTCTTTCAGGAAAGTGTTGGCCTGCGAACCCCAAGATCAGCCGTTCAAGCCCATCAGCCACTCCACAGGAGCAAGATGAAGAAATCCGATCCTGGGAAGGTTTGCAGCCTCAGACGCCCTACATAGGGTCACGGAGTTAGAACGGACTCCACCACATTGGTTTGCTCTAACTTCCCAGAAGGGAAGTTTCTCATGAGAAATGCCGATCAATAGAAATGACTTGCACGTGATGTGCTTGACATTTGGTTGGTTGTGTGTGTGTGTGTGTGTGTGTGTGTGTGTGTGTGTGTGCGTGCGCGCTCCACCTTCCTTCTTTTCTTGGCAACAGCCCTCCCTACTCTTTGCGGAAACCACTTCTCCACTCAGTTACGCTGGGGTCGCCTATCAGTCATCCACCCCCTGGTCACAAGGGTGGAGACAAGATTCCACCAGAAGTTATTTGACGAGAGCCCACGCCGAAGGTCAGAGGGTTCTCAGGACTGGAAAAGACTGGAGGAATTGGCGCTTCTGGAGAATAGTGGGAAGACATGGCCAGAGAGATAACAAACTAGAAGAGAAGCACCAGAGAGAGCAGGGAAAGGGCTTCAGGAATGGCAAACGCTGGAGAAGGTGGGAGCTGCGATGTGGGACGAGAAGGAGCCGTTGGTTTGGTCACCTAAAGCTCACTGGTAACTTTAGTGAGAATTGATTTAGTACAAAGGAGTCCTGGTGTTACAGGGGTCAGCTGTGAACCGAAACGTTGGCAGCTCAAGGCTACCAGCCACACCATGGAAGAAAAATAAGGCAATGTGCTTCTATAAAGATTAGAACCTTGGAAACCCTATGGGTCAGTACCATTCTGTCCTGTAGGATCACTACGAATAGAATTGGCTCGGTGGCAGTGGGTCTAGGGGATTCGGCCCCCTGATGATCACTACAAGTAGATCATCCTGTAGGATCACTACGAGTAGAATTGGCTCCATGGCAGTAGGTCTAGGGGAGTCAGCACCCTGATGAAGAAGTGGAAGAGCGGGTGGTAGGTGAGGAAGTAGAGGAATTATCTAACTTGACCCTCAAGTCGTTGGATGTGCAGGGAATACAAAACAACAGGAATTAGAAAGCCCTCGAGGTAGAAGAAGGGATTTTTTTTCAGTGTTGTTTAATAAGAACTATTTGAACTTGTTCATAAGTGACACCCCCACCCACCCACTAAAAACAGAGGGGAGGAATCGAAGCAAAATACAGGAGAGAACATGGAAGATTCCATGCCGAGGAAAGGAAGGCAGCCTTGCAGAAGGTATAAAGGATTGGATCCAGGGTCCGTGGGAAAGGATGGCACTTTTCACAGAAGGGGGGACCGGAAGGCCAAAGGGGATGAGACACAAATGTACGTAAAGTGTGTGGGTGTAGGACATGGAACACATGTCCCTGCGGCTCTCATTTTCTCTATGATGCAGAAGGTCTCCCTCTGAAGGGCAGGGCTGCATTGGTGGAGCCTTGGAACTCCATTGATTTAGTAACCCCAAAGATGAGGAAGGAAGAGAGGGAGCAATTGCCACCTGTCCTATATTTCAGCTGAAGTTGGAAATGATTGGACCTCTATCGATGCCCATCTACGTGTCCGTGGAGTTTTTCTAGCAGAACAAGCATAGGAGCAGAGAAAACAGAAGACTGCCCCATGCGGGGAAAGTTTCGGATAGATGCTACCGGAAGACAAAAGGTTAGAAAGTGAAGGCTGGTGGAAATAAAGTAGAAGCCACAGCACAGCGTGGACTCTAGAGACAGCAGGGGAAAACCTCCAGGCAGCTGATAGATTGGAAGGAAATAATACATTGAAAGAAGAATGGCCTTGATGCATTCAGACACCCTGGGTGATGATCTAAGACAGGGGTTCTCAACCTTCTGCAGCTTGAGAACCGCTCATCTAAGACCTAATGAATTGAAGAGTCATGGCCACATAAAGGCCCGGTAAGAGTTTGAGAGCGCAATGAACAATGCATGCTGGTGCTCAGGGCCACAGTGTGTGCCAGGAATTGAGTGTAGGAACTGGGGTGAAGAGTCTGCTAGGACTCTCTGCTCCCAAATAGCTACTTGCAATGTGAGACATTCTCTTACTCCTCCCAACCACTAACAGGTAGGGAATTTGCTAGTTTAACTTTCTGAAAATCCCTTATTTTCAAGTTCTTATGAGGACATTTCACTATCGTCTTGAATATCTTGCCTTTAATATTTACTGTTTATCAACTGGTTTCTTTGGGTCACCAAGCAATGTTATCCTTGCTCAGTAACTTATTGAATCACTGATTGACCTCACCAGATGATGAATGCCGAGATCCCCATTAGACCTGTCACTGTCCTGTGCATAACTGGGTTATTATCTCTGTTTGTATACTTAGCTGAATGCATAAATGAACAAATGGTAGAAAAAATTTCATCTCTGGTGTGTGTGTGTGTGTGTGATTCATAGATGAATAAATGTTTTAATAGATGGGAAGGTCCTTGAGGATGCTAGTTAAATTCACGACCTCAGTTTAAAGCTGAATAAAACTGAGGGTCAGAAAGGAGACTTGCCATAGGTCAGGCAGCTGGACTGAACCTGTCAAGGAACCTGAAGAAGGATAAAAAAAGGTCAGGTTTCCTGGTCAAATAGAGACCGATGGAACCCCTAAGGTTTTCGTTCTTATCACCTTGCAGGTCTGGGAATGCAAGTCTGGAACACTCCCACGGCTCCATTTCCAGGAAACCGATAGCCCTAAGGGGAACAGTAACACTAGTGGGGATCTGCACCCTAGAACAATCCATCCTGTGAGAACAAAAGGGAAGCATGTGCTCAAAGACAAAGTTCAGAAGGATTAGGAAAGAAGGAAGAAGGAAACACGGGGGGGAAAAGTGGGATTAGTAAGGTTACATTTTGGGGACTGTAATAGCACATGTGAAACAAAAGGTACATACATTGTAGAACTGTTTGCTCTGTAAACGTTCACCCAACTCTCTCTCTCTAACACACAAACAACACACACACATTTTAAAAAGCTAATAATGATGTGTACAAGAGTGAAGAAAATGTTCTGCAACTGATGGTGGTGATGATTGTACAACTCTTCTTGATGTGATCGAACTATTGAGTTCTGTGATATGTGACTTATATGCCAATAAAACTGATGGGGGGTGGGTGGGGAAAGAGTCGAAAGAGGGGAGGGCTCATAAATCTTGGGCCATGTTCTATCTTCAAACTTGGTGCCCTACCTCCCTTCTCACCGATGTTGAGTCAATTCCACCTCATGGCGATTCACAGGCCAGTGTAGAATGGCCCCTGGGGGTTTCCAAGACTCTACGTTTGTGCCGGAGTAGAAAACCTCATCTCTTTTCCTGGGAGCAGCTCGTGATTTTGAACTGTCAACTCTGCAGTTAGCAGCTCAACACATTACCCACCTCCCTTCACTGAGGTAATTGTGGTACCATCTAAAACATTGGATTGGTGTCATGTGATCCATAGAGTCTCTTCCAGATGAGTCATTTAATGAAATTAATCAAAAGAGCAACCTGTCGGAATCCGCCCCGTACATTTTCCCAGCTCTGAACCTTCCCCACAGGTGCCTGTGTCTCAGCCTTTTCTAGGTTGCAGAGAAACCAAACTTACTTCTCCAGGAATGCCACACAAGTTTTCTGCCCATAGATCTCTGCGATCCTCTTGGGGGTGTCTCCGAAGAAGTCAGGGGCGTCGATAGCCGCGTGCAAGGCATGCAGAGTTTTGAGCACGTTCAGGTGGCCAGACTCAGCCGCAAAGTGAGCTGGGGTCCAGCCCACATCAGTCACCAGGCAGGGCCTGGCTCCGTGTTCTACCAGGAGATGCACGACCTCCATCTGCCCTTGGATGTACCAAGAAGAAATAGAATGAACTTAAGAGGAAATTATCTCTGATAGCCTAAGGCTGGAGCCAGCCTAGATAACACAGAACCACCCCCCACCCCCCAATTCAAACAGTATATTGCTATTTGCAAGTCAATTCCAACTCACGGGGACCACATGTGTTACAGCATGGAATGTTCCTTGGTAATCTTAATGGAAGCTTACTAAATTCACTGCCTTCCCTCTGTGGCACCACTGGGGGGCAGGGGGTGTTGTTCCACTAGCCTGGCATTAGTAATTGAGTCCAAACTATTTGCACCACCCAGGGACCTAGATAACACAGGACCCACCAAAGCCACTGCCATTGAGTCGATGCCCGTCTAGGCTTCTGAGCCTATCACAGGAGCAAATAAAAGAGTAACGATGAGCTTGAACCACTGACCCTGAGGTTAGCTGAAAGCTTACCCAACAGCACCACCAAGGAAGGATCCCTTAGGTAACAGAGAATAAACAAAGTCAAACACACTGCCATCGAGTTGATGTTGACTCATAGTGACCCTATAGGACAGGGTAGAACTGCCCCTGTGAGTCTCCAAGACTGTGACTCTTCATGGGAGTAGAAAGCCCCATGAAGAACTGATGTTGAGTGAGCAGCCCAAGGTATAAATACTTGGCCCCCAGGGTTCCTCTGGGTAACACAAAAGAGGGCAACAATCCGCCTTTAAGGTCATTCCGGTTTCCAGTCATCCTCACCCGACTCTTCCCCTCTTCTCCTGACCACGCACTCAGTCTTCCTCTTTTCACTTCCGAGAACCTGGCCTCCACCTGGGGCCTGGGGCTCTTTGTGCCTTCCCTGGACTCCTCCCTGGACATGTCCTCATCTTTCCTGTCCTCTGGCTGCTAACAGAAAGGTTGGAGGTTTGAATCCACCAAGAGACGCCTCCCAAGAACAGGCTGCGAATCTACTTCTCAAAAGTCAGCCATTGAGCACCCGTGGAGCTCAGTCCATCTGAACACACGTGGGCTGCCGTGAGTCAGACGCAGGGACACCTCTTTTCTGGTTAAGGCTCAGTCAGCTCGGAGCAGCCTCAGCGATGGTTTTAAAAACAGATATTTATATATTTAATTATATACATATAATGTTAATTCTGCTTACGGGAGCCCGCAAGCCCTTCCCATGGGGCGCACGGGTGCATGGCCGAGCAATCCTGTAGACATTGTGCCACCTGAACCAAGAAACACAAACAGGCTTTGAGAACTTTGTGGGGAAATGTCACAAATTTTAATTCTGTTTTTTTCACAAACTTTTGGGAAGCCTATCATCACCCTTGGGGACTTCATTTCCTGGTTTGTAGGTTAAGATTATTATCACCTCACTGAGTTAGTGTGAAGTTCAAAGTCACAATGTCCAGTACATAGCACATGCTCCGTTAGAAGATGTTGTACTTAGAGATCTACACAACTCTCTCTTTAGCCCATCTTGATTTTCCACCCAGGAGCCAAAGCAAATGCTTCAAATTTAAGAAAGCCAGACTTCCTTACTTGGATGGTATTCTATTGCCAAAGCCCTGGACAAGCTCAGGAGGCTGTGGTTTTCCACCCCTCTTCTCCACTCCAGCTAGGATAGGCACACATCTAATATGTGAGCATATAATGATGATCCGGACAAAGTCCTCATCCTACTGGATGTTCCAGTCCTGTTAGTGGAGGGGAAGGCAGACCATTGCTTGGGGTAGTACAGCCATGATCTTAATGAGCCCTGACCCCAGGACTATATGGTAGCGTCACTGTTCCCATGTTACAGTTCAGCACACGAAGGCCCAGAGAATTAAAAAAATTAGCTTCAGGTGCTAAGACTAGTACATGGTAGTGATAGGATTGGAGTACAGACCCATATGGCTCCAAAGAAATGTTTCAGACCTACCACCATCCAGTCTACTGACCGATCACTAACCTCATGAATGGTGGAATCCAGGAGCTGGACCTTACCTAGGCATTGTCCACTCACCTTTGATTGCAGCCCAGTGAAGGGGAGTCCGGTCATTCCAGTCCACATCCTTGTAATTTGGATCACAGAGACCTTTCTTCAAAATCTTTTTCACTGAATTGTAGTCCCCCATGGCCACAGCTTGATGGAGCTTTGTCATGTCTGACATTTTGGTTAATTCCATGTCAAAAAAAAAAGGGGGGGGGGGACAGAAAACCTGTGGGCGAGACATACAAGTTAGGGAATTCTCTACAATTTGTTATTCCTTAGTAAGTGATCCCGAAGATTTCTTTCTATATCATTGACTCTCTTTTTGCCTCATGAGTTTGCACCCAGCTCTGCTTTGGCTGTATGCTCTGCTGAGCGTGTCTTTAGGTCTTAGGTACAGTGGACGGTGCATCCTAGCTCCCAACCCAATACCATCAGTGGCTCTCCACTGCCTACACAATGGTACCTAAGCCCTGGAATTAACATTTCATAAACCCCAAACCACACACCCTGCCACGGGGCCACTCCCGACTCATAGCCACCCCTTGCGGGCTTCTGAGATGGTAACGGGAGTAGACTGCCCCTGCCATTTCATCTCAAACCACCTTTCAGTGCTGTCTCATGCGACGGGTAATTCTGTGTCTTTGCTTCCTTATCTGTCAAGTCTTCCCGGCGACTGGAAAGATAAAATGTCCATCTACATGAAATGTTTTTACTAGACACAGAGCAGGGGCTCCAAGAAACTCTCATACTATTGTGGCATCCATAATGGAGAGGAACAAGACAGAAACATACAAATACAATGGCTATTTTAAAATCAATTGTCTGCTAGACCTCAGCAGTTTTAAAGTTACAGTTTATAGAGATTGGGGATCCCTGAGGCCCATACATGAAGACCATAAGTTCAAAACTACTTATATTACATTAAGATGTTCACTGTGTTGACAGCTGCCCTGATGTTTTAAAAACAATGATGCAGAAACTGTTAGTTAAGAACTAACACCATCTTGGATTGCTAGTCACGGTATCCTTCTCACACCACCACGCCCCTCAGTAAAAGTCGATCCAATAGGCAGGTTCCAAAGGAATATAATAATGCTTTCTGAATTGTATTCCCCAAAGAATATGTGTCAGCTTGCCTAGACCATGATTCTCAGTGTTACGTATTTACCCCAGACTTTGTGACTTAATGTAATGACCTGTCGTTAATCTTAACCTCTGTGCTATCAATGAGGCAGGTAACAAACTACAGGACTGGGTTGTGTCTTGAGTCCATCTCTTTTGAAATATAAAAGATATCAGACAATGGAACGGAGACAAGAGGGACCTCCGTACTACCAGGTTTAAAGGGGAAAAAAGGAACAAAGAATAGAGTGGATCCTTCCAGTCTGGGTTCACTGTGCGGGGAACCTCCTAGACTCAGGGGAAGGTCAGAACACGTGGAGATCTCCAAGAAACACCCGGCCCACGGGTATCACAGGGAGACGAGGTACTTCGCCCAGAGCAAGAACGCCTGCCCTGAAAACTGATATCCTGAATTGGAACTTCTAGGTTCCTAACCTGTGAGAGAAAGAATGCACTTCTCTGTGTTAAAGCTCTCCCCTTGTGGAATTTCTGTCATAGCATTACTAGATCACGAAGGATAGACATTAAGATTTACTTTAAAATGAAATTCTGACCCATGATTACGTGACTTAATAAATGTAATTTTTAAAATAAATTGTACTGTGAAATGGGTCAGCTTTTGGAAAAAATCTACATAATTTGGCAAAATAACATTTTTTCATAATGCCAGGTATATGATGGTATGCAATCATGCATGGTTAAAGAGATTCATTCAAGCTAGAGCATGGATTTTAATGGAATAGAGTATGGAAAGTGTATTGCTTCATATTTCACACAGCAATGAACCGTTAAGAAACTACATTTTGTTCAAATCAAGGGAAGCAGATGCCGATCAGGAGACCTCGGGGTCTAGGTGGTGGCCAGCGAGGCACGGGGCAACAGTGAGGGACAGGAAGGCAGATGCTGAACGTGGACGTAAAGGTAATTTTTGTTTGTTGTATAAGAAAGCACGTGAGAGTGTTTGGTCAATGATAAACTGGTAAAAAAAATTCACGTTTGTCATCTGAAGGTGTCACAAAATCTCAACCATTTTTAGAATGAATGTCTGCAAGCCTTTCACTTACTTCTCACGCAAGTCTTTAACCAGGTTAACATTTCATCAATCCCAGTTTTTCCTCATTTGACTTCAAGGTGATCTCAGAAATACCGATTTCAAAAGTTACTAAAGAGCTGTAGTGATCAAGGCACTGTGATTTGAAAACATCCTACTAAGCTACATTCAGTAAGGTGGGTGGTCCTGGCATATGGATAGACATGTAGAACAAGGGACTAGATTTGAGAGTCCAGAAATAAACCTTTATATTTATGGTCAATTAAATTTTGACAAGTGTAGCAGGGTATTTCAATCGGGAAAGAAAAGAGTCAAAAACTTCTGGGACAACTTGATATCGACATGTAAATTACTAACATGGATCCTCTATCTCACACCATATGCACAAATATACTCCAATACCTGAAAAGAAACCCCCTAACTATACAGCTCTGGGAAGAAAACATAGGAATACATCCTCATGATCTTGAGGTAGGAAATGGATTCTAAGATAGGATATGTCAAAAGCACAAGGCAACTAAAAAAATAATAGATAAATTGAACTTCATCAAAATTGCAAACTCGTGCTGTAAATGATACTGAGAAAAAAGTAGAAAATGCAACCTATGGGATGGGAGAAGACATGTGCGAATCACATAACTGATCATGAACGTGGATCCATAATACAAGCAGAGCTCTTACAACTGGACCATGAAAATACAACTAATCAAATGTAAACATGAGCAAAGGATCACCAGAAATCACAATCCAGACAGCAGCTGCTTTATAAATACATCAAGGTTGTGCCTTGGGCAACTAACTGAAAGTCAGCAGTTCGAAACCACCCTTTGCTCTGAGGAAGAAAGGCTTTCTACTCACGTACAGCCTCTGGAGCCACAGCGGTGGTTTCACCCTGTCCTATACAGTTACTGCGAACTAGGATTGACTTGACTGCAGGGAGTTTGAAGGACTGGGATTGGAGTGGGATGGAAGCATTTCTTTCTGGGGGTGCTGAAGTATTCTAAAATTAGGTTGTGGGGAGTGAGAGTTCACACGTCTGAATAAACTACAACGCTCTGAATTGTACATTTCAAATGGATCAATTTTATGACCCACACTGGTATCTTCATAAGGCAGTTTTAAAACGAATTGAGAGTATTCATTAGAAGCATCAAAGTTGATTGCAGAGAAGGTATACAATTCACCAACTACTCACGGATGATTAAAGCACTGTTTAAGAGTCCATGTAAGTGAAATGCCTGATTTTCTTTCTTTCTGGAAGAGGTTTTCCCAACTTACAAACGAGACAGCAACTGTCCGGTGTGAACAGTAGGAATGATCCAAATGAACTTTAGGGAACATCCGAGGACAGATTCTATATAGAGAGACTTACTGTCTGACTGGAAATCTGAGGCGCTCCGTGCTGGCAGGCTGGCTTAAGCTTGTTGTGTTTACACCGTGGAAACGGACCCCTCCTTCCTGGTGACAGCCCTCCAATCTGGTGCAGCCTCTTTAGAGGTCAGGGCGGTGTGGACACGGCTCCTCTGCATGGCTCAGAAACCCTTTGGCTACTCGAGTCAGCTTCCTTAATTCAGATGTGTTTCTGACCAGAAGGGAATATCAATTCTAAAGACTTTGAAAGCAGCCAACACAAGAGACTGTGGAGCCGGTCAGTAGCTGTTGGTATGTCGGAGATGCCCGGCTTGTGTGGAGCTGTACAGACAGCATGGACCCCCCACACTCCCCACCTTGGCAAAGTCCTTAATTTAGCCGAGCCTCTATGTTCTCCCCAAGAAAATGAGTGTGTAATACTCTTCTCAGGACTATTCAGATGATTAAGCTAAAAGAATGTTTAAGGCACCTGGCACAAGATAAATACTTAGAGAAAAGCTAAACAAAATCTCAGCCCCCCAAACCCCAAACACGCATTCAGATGCTCTCTCCTCACCTCTGTTGGCTTCCTCGGGGTAGGCATTGACTATGTCTATGAGGAGGAGGACCCAAAGGGCCTCTCTCTTTCTGTCTTTGCTCTATTTTTCCTTCCCCTCCTCCTCTCTTTCCTTCCCACAGGTTCATTGAGCAGCTGCCTCTGGGAGCCCCTGCACTGAGGCCTGCGATCACAAGGCAGTCCTCGCCCCTGTCCTCCTGGAGCTTAGAATTCGGGGGTGGGTGTGGGTGTGGGTATGCAGACAATAAAGGAGAAAACAACAACAACAAATGCTTCGTGTAAATGCACAACTCCTGTAAGTGCCATGGGCAAAGGCCATGAAACGGCAGGAAGTACCAGGGACAGCCTGGAATAGGACAAAAAGCCGGCATCTGGAGAGCTCAGGAAGGTATTTGTACAGGTGTTGATTCCTGCTCCCAAACATTCACATTTCAGCTAAGCAGGCATTCCCAGTGTGTCCTCTGGAAGGACACCACCCCATGCCCCCACACCACCACCACCACCATGACCACCACCACCACCACAGCCACCACCTCCACCACCACCACCACCACACCTCCACCAGCACCATCTCCACCAGCACCTCCACCACCACCACCACCACCCCTACCAAGATAGAACACAGCCAAATGCTGAGTGACTGTTTCCTCCTTCCCCCTTATCACCAAACTATCATAGCAACAAGTTTCCAGGACTAATGCCCTGGTTCCAGTAACCCAACTCACTAACTGGTTTTTTAAAAGTGATCTACCACTCAGTAGATCCTTTCTTGTCCAGCCAGCTGCCGCTGTACCGCGTTCCCAGTCCTTCAGCTCCCTACTGTAAATAAACAATGTCTCTTACATTGGCCCCGGATCAGCATTTCAGTCTCTCAACTTTTAAGTGTCTCCCTCTTTGAACCCCAGTCTTTGAGACAGAGAAAGGGAAACAGCAGCTTAACTTGTGCAAATAACCAAAGAAGCAAGAGCTGCTGATCCATGGGGTATGGACCAAGTGAAACAAAATGAACTGAAGACAGAGCAGGACCTTCAGGTCCCGATCAGGAGTCTCAGTTTCACCCCAAGTTCAAGGAAAAGTCGTTCAAGGTCATAAA